CACCAGTACAAGGGTGAGCTGCAACCAAAAAATAAAAAAACATTTTCAGTCCTTTCAAAAGTATGTTGAATATTTAATAAAAAAAAAAAAGTTTGAAATCTTCAGACTTCAACAATAAAAACATTCCAATTAGGTAAGTGTTTAAAATATTAACTTCTTTTAAAATATTCTAGCAAAATGAATCCTAAAATATTAGGAACGGACAAAGAACACTGAAATTACAAAAGAGAAAATAAAACAACTTTGGTTGTTATCAAATATACAGGAAGAGAAGGAAGATTTATACAAAGCAGTATTATAATGGATAATTCAAGATACTAACTGTGGCTCGACACAATTTTCATATAACAAGGTTTTACATAAGTTTATGAGGATATTTTTAAGAAGTAACAACAATATTTTAAGTCAAACATTCATACAATGAAAAGACACCTTATTAGAAAGCTGTTGTTTTACTTACTGGTCTTAAACAAAGTTGTAGTAATTATAGGTCATTATTTCTTTACAAACAAGTTTTATGATAAATCAACAAAAATGCTTTCAATTGTTTTTTGCTCTTGAAACTGATTTTATAGTCAAATACCCAGAGTTCTTCCAAGCCATATTTTGTTACTCAACTAATCTTAACAGAAGCAAGAACAGTATTTTGAGGTCATTTATGTTCAGACACAAAACAAACAACTCACTATTTCAAGAAGAAGCACTTTTTACTTAAGTCTGTATCACCAATTCAGATAAACCTACACGAATCTCTCAGTTTCACAACTTCAGCTTGACGGATATCAAAAAAAATTTCCTGAGCAGCATATAACGTAGCACTCCTGAACATGTTAAAAAAAATTACAATTCTCATATAAACTGGTGAGGAACTTAAAACATCTTGAAACTACTACCTTACATTTACATTCACAATATCAACAGGAGTGTGATAAAGTTATAAAACTAAACTAGACAGAGTGCATAATCTCAACACTTTTATTAGATTTTAGCAATTACTAAACATACAGAGCTTCTGTAATTTGTATTTCAGCTAAATATGTATTCATATATATATATATATATGTGTTCAATCTTTTCAAGGAAACCAAGATGTTTCGAACCTTGATACCCGAGTGATATGTTTTTTTTTTCAGCAGACCAGAAGAAAACTTAAACCTGAACAAGTAAATATAAAAGTGAAGAAATGTTCATTAGAATTAAAACTAAATGCCATTGGTCACTAGAACAGACCAAACTCATTAAACACTACAGTACAACTACAGTAACATTCTGCATTATTCCAATGCAAACGGATGTATTTCATAACAAGCTTTCTTCACACCTCACTATCATTATGATGACAAATGTAAGGTGTAATTCGTTTTACCCAGCACCTTAAATTTAAAAAAAGTTATAGATATATATATATATCTATAAGCAATTTTGAGCACAAACCATTGGTTTGCTATATATATAAAGTCTACATATATATATATTATTTTATCCAACAACTTATTTTCGAGATCCCTCCAAAGAAATGCAGGCTTTCCCACATGAATAAAACCATTGGTTTGCGTCTAATGTTGATTCTGATGCCACAGGTTTGCTTTCCAAATTTCATCACCACATGCCTTCAAGGTCCAATCTGTAGCTGAAGGATTGGGGGAAAGGGGAGGGAGACTACAGTGCTGTGGCATTAGAAGTTTGAAATTATCCTTAATCATGGAAAGGATATCTGTAAATAACTGACAATCAGAGGAATATATCTTGGCAGGCATTCCAGTCTTGCTTTGCTTTACTTTCCCAATACTTTCCCTGGTAAATATGAACTGGATTTCCAGTTATGGGGTCAGTTTGTTTCCGAAACCAAATGGGCTCGTAGCCAAGGTATGGACGTCCTAGGGAGAGAGAGAGAGGGTACAAAAAAAAACTAATATTATTTTATAATGTAAACACTGGTTTCCACTGTTTTCTTTTTGTTCAGATATGAAACCAAAGAGAATCATCCTAATGAACCAATTTCTTTTAGGAGCAAATGTAAACAAAACTAAACAGTAAATATGAGCACGAAGTATTTAATTTCATCATCTGACCTCCG